GGGGGGGGGGGGACGTTTCTTTTCGGTTTTGCGGGGGAGGTAGCCGTAAGTAGGGTGGGGGGTAGGTGGGGGGGGAGTTTATTCTATTATGGACGCTCAAGTACCATGACATCTGGTTGCAAGAACAACGAAGACACAACGCAACCAATTACTCACTTTTGTGTGGCCTCAACTCCTAGGCACCCAAATCAAGAGGGTTATTTATATTAAATGTTAAGATCTGTACAATTGTCTGCGGAATAAGGTTTCGATGGAACATGTTACTGTGGGTTCAATTGTCCCTTAAGAGGGCACCTCATTGGCTCCCTCCGCGCCGATTCAGGGAATGAGTTCCGTGTGATCATCGACCACAAGCGGTCCGGTCCTAAACTTGAGCGTGGGAAGCGCTAGGTATGTCGGGTCGGGAGTGATACGGTAATCTGGCTGGTTTTTTTTTTTTTTTTTCTAATTCTCTTTTCATATTATTATTATTTTGTTAAAAAAAAAAATACTCTAGGTAAACACCGCCTGCTATAAAATTAATAGTTACGATACCCTTTTGACTCCATTAGGTCTTATACTTCTTGTTCGTTTGATGTCACTAAATTGGCCATACACCGATAGAAAATAAACGTTCTCAAATCGTCTCGTTCATCAACATCGGTAGGTTCTTTATGTTTACAATTAAGTCTTTTCGTTCAAATCTTTCGATCAAACTTAAATTACTGACTTCACGTTAAGTATTTCATGTAACTTAGGGTTTAGATGATACTACAAAATAAAAGGGCCCAATAACTGTCGTCCGACGACGAAAGACCGAGGTTAGGGAGCGGGAATCGAGGTTCAGTCCACTCCCCGAGGGAGCAGCGAGACGTAAGGTTTGGGGACCGTCGTGGGTCCGTACTCTCGTCGTTGTCCGTTCGTCAGGTTTGTTGGGTCGATGGGTGATCAGTCCGGGTCACGTTTTGGGGAGGGAGGTGGTCCTCTGTCCGGGCCGGAGGTGCGAGGGGCGAGAAGGAAAGATGAATAACCGATTCCTCGTTCGACATGGCACTACAACTAGTAGTTTCTGGGTGAGTCTCTTTTTATTAGACACCGGTGTCGAATTAAGGACCGGTATCAAAGTTCCCATAGACGGAGTTATTGTTATTATTAATTACTCTTATAAAAAAACATCATCGTCATAACGATCTTGGTTAAAATTAGTACATTGTCTGTTTGTCAGGTGACGCTTTGACGTGTTTTGTTCCGGGGGATTATATGCTAGTATTTATTTTACAAGACAAACAAATACTAAGTACTTTATTGAGACACAACTCCAGGCCTTTTATGTATGTTTCTATAAGGATTTAATATAAATAGGTTTAGCTAAGAAATAAATAATGGAAACATACGTCGAGTCTACTTATCGCTAACCCATTGATTTATACAAGAATTATTACATACTCCTATGTATCTTACTCGTGCGTCCAAATATACCGTTGTTTTCACCCCCGTGAAACAACCCGTATATCACAACTCAAAATCTAAACATTTACATGCAATTACCACAAATGGTGTAAAGGACACTTAAATGGAGTACTATTTTTTATTCTATTAATTTGGTGATTTGAAAATTCCCACTTTTGCAATAACCCGTTCTAATAGTAGACAAAAGTGGACGATTTTGTACATGAGAGGAGAGGTCGTCGTACCTACCGTCTGTCGTCGTTTGTCGTCGCACTGTGGCTAGACCTGAAGTAGAATCTCACTATTTTCTTGGCGACCACGTCGGGCTTCGGGTACATACCGGCCCTCCCAAGAGCTGAAGGAATTCTGTGGGAAACACTGTACCTGCAACCTTATTTCTGAAACTGACTTATTTTAACAGTTTGAGACGCAACATGCTGGGTTTGTAGGAGTGCGACAGAGCAAATATTTTCCTGACAGCGCTAATGTATCAATAATGTACTAAAAAGTCAAACATTCAGAGTTATTTGGACTTATAGAATCTACTTTGTGTTACATTTTTAGTTAGAATTTTGATAGAGTTATGCTTAATTCAAGCTTGCATCTTTCCCTGTATTTACCGCTTTCCTTTTCCATATTGCAACCATGCTGTGCTTGTCTGCATTCTTATGCCACACATACACATGTGCGTACAGGTAAAAATCCAATTTGAAAGCTGGTTTGACTGTATACATGAAAGTCTTTATTCTACACGAGAAATCTACTTTCTCAAACGCTATAACCCCCTAACGTAGCCTTGCTATTTAAATGCATATATCGTTTTTTTTTTTATGAGGATAAAGGGTTAGACGTCATTGGAAGAAATTCTTCCTAAGAATGTTACTTTTACATGGAAACGTATAAGACACAAATTACTATTATTTGAAGCAGAGGATTTCTCTAAGTCTTAAAAGCATGTCTGGATCTTTAATCAGAAACAGGTTTATTACCAGGTAGGTTTACAGGTACGAGGTTATTTGACTCGACTGGTTTTTAAATACTTTCCTGAAACCGCCTAAACTTCCCTGCATGTTTGTATCTGCTTAGCGCATCATATGTTTGCATAACTGAGTGAAAAAAAGCTAAATATTAGTTGCATAACATTGTGACCCTGTTTTGCCCGTCATGCATGCATGCAGCGAAATGAATTGACGCTGAGAGAACAATATCTCCAGCTCTTGCTCTCACCTGGCTGCTCTGTGCTCGGTGGAGGGGGCTGCACTACCTTGAGGATGGGGCGAGGGGGGTGGGGCTGGTTTGGGGTAAAGCTAGGGTTTCCAGGAGGAGCTATGGTGTAGTGAGCAGTAGCAGGACCGGGGGTGCGCTGGACAATTTGCAGTGGAGCTGGGATTCTAACAGTGGTTGTGGTGGCGTGAGGGTGAGGGGAAAGGGAGGCCAGAGGACCAAAACGAGGAGAAGGGGCCACTGCCAGGGTCGGCACGGGCCCACCGTCCTTGCCTGCTGTCTGACGCACAACGATCTTCACCACACCCGGGCTGCTCACCAAGGAGGGGACCACTGAGGGAACATCAAATATATCAGTCGTAACAACACATTTGAGCTGTTCTAGGTAAAACATTATTAAGGAGCTGAAAGGGGGTAACAGTCAGAGGGAAAAAAACAATAAGAGTATATACTAAGATTAAACACATTCTGAGAGAAAAAGGTTGGATAAGCATGACAGTTATGCTTTTCTATTGGATGTAGCAATAAGGAAATACTTTTGTCCAAATACACAATATGATGATAAGCAATCAGACTTTAAAAGAGACATTGCCAAGGAGAGCACCTCTCCTCTAAAGTATGTAAGGTATTCCCTGTTTACCGTCTGCAGTGTGATGAGGTGTCTCTTGCAAATGTATTACTTTAATCTCAGAATATTTGGGTTGTTTTTCTTGTAAAATGTATAACTTCAATCTGTTTTCTCTGAATATTACCATCTCGCCCAGGGTCCTTCATTTTATTTATCTACAATGGCCGTCATCATTTCTTGTAGTCATAGGATAACATCCAAAAAAGAAAATAATAACATACATTTCCAGGCAAAATTAGCTTTTGTTAGATTAAAGTCAAGATTTGGATATTTTAGATGTTCAGAATTAAATAAAAGCCATTTAAGATAAGAACATTACTTAGTTTGTTAAGGGCCAGAACATGAAAGAGGGAGTTTGAGAAAGGGGTAAAAACCTTGCGCTGTGATATTGTGAGGCATCCGATTGGAAGCTGGAGAAGTGGCGGAGGTGCTGACTGCGCTCTGGACTGTCACCTGGGTGGTCTGGCTGATGAGGTGGTGCTGCATCCCGCTGGTCACCAGGTGCATCACATTACCTGCAGCGTGAGAGGAATACAGACGTGTTATGATCAGGGATGTTTTTCTACTCAGATTCTCCAGTAACCGCATTGCATACAACATACCTAATGACTTCAATCATTTCTTTATTAAGAGATGAGGTTTAAACTATTTGACACATGCAACATAGCAAACTTTTTTCTTCTATTTTTGCATGCACAATTACTTTGAAAAGTCAGTTGTAAAACCAACAAAAATCCATAAAACATATTTTGACCCCCTGAACTACACCAAGTATTCTTTCCATATAAATACATACACAGGTTAATGCAACAATTGCAAATTCCTCATAAGTAGCTTTATGGAGCAGAATAACCTTTGTATTATTATTATTAATAAATACTTCAAAAAATAAATGAAAAAAATCCAAATTGTGACCACAATCACCTACCTATGAAATCGTGTTGGTGCGTTAATAATTTTATGTGGCAGATAAAACCCTCCCTTCGTTCATCCACAGCGAGTACAAAGGAAAACTAACCTTGCACAGAGCGTGGGGAAGCTGCTGGGACCTGGTGGAGCTGGGCTCCAGACAGAGTCAGCTTGTTGCCCTGCAGCTGGAAGGTGACAGGTTTACTGCCCTGACGTGACACAGGACGCCCTGCCAGGGAGGCCAGCTGGGCTATGCTCACTACCTTACCAGCTGAGGAAGGAAGACAAAGAAAAAAAACAGGATTAAAAACAAAATTACCGTAGTTTTCGGACTATAAGGCGCACCTGAATATAAGCCGCAGCAGCGGCATACCACTCTCGGTTCCACTTTTACTTTTGCGCGCTACCTGTCGTATCAATGTACACTCTACAACAGAACGAATGAAAAGGGACAGTTAGTTTCAGCCTGTTGATATTTTTTCACAACCCACTCACACCTGTATGTTTAGTATCATTTTGACACAACACTAAAACTAATCTTTTTGGTGAAAAACCATTGACATCAGATTAAATTATTTCCTTTTTCCATTTGTTTATTTAACTCGTGAACCTTTTCAACCCATTTTACATATATTATTAGTTATACTTCTGTAATAACTCGAAAACATACAACCAGGACGGAGGACGAAATTCACAAGGTCGGCAATTTACTATTGGCTAGACCAGGGAGGACTACTTTTTCTGACGAGTCACGAGGACGTCGTGTCTGGGGTTTAGAGATCAAGACTTCAAGGTGTTCGACGACACGACGAGACACCAAGTAGTCCGTACTGTTTCCGTAAATAAATAATCTCTGTCTTTTTCTCTTAGACGCTAGCGTCTTAATGGCCGTATTAGTCGGTTACCGCGTTAAATTTTTCGGCGTATAAATAGTTTTCGCGTATTAGGTGGGGCGAAAAAGGTGTTTCAACTCTTTTTGTTTTTAATTGAGCGACTGCACTCAAAGTCGACGCGTCGTAGTGTCTTACATTTGTGACATATCCTCGGTAAATGGTTGGCTTGAAAATGATTTCTGCCCGTTTTCCCCCCCCCTTTTAAAGACGTGGGCACGTTGACCAAACGTCGTCATTTCTCTTTAGGCTGCCACCGCTGGGTGACAACTAAGACATTTGTAGCTTTCGAAGACCGACGACCGCCTTCTTTCGTCAAGTGAGCAATGGCTCCCAGTTGGAGGTTTGGGAAAGCTCCCGATGTTCTTTGCTTCACCTCATCATGTTCTAACTTCGCAGTCTATTGCTGCTCATTTACTTTTTTCTTACTCCGCCTCTTCCACACCCAACACCCCTCTCACCACACACTCTCTTAATTTATCTGGTTAACGAAAATGTTATTTTATTGTAACTTCACAATAATTATCATTCCCAAATGCAATACCGCAACACACACTCTCTCTTATTTATTTTCGGGTTATAAATAAACAAAATAGAAAAGGGTGCGTATAAATGTATAAAGGTTGATAGAGGCGTATAAAGGGATTGAAGGGCCGTAAAGCGGCTATTTTAGTGTATTTGGGGCGTAAAATTAGCATTGTATCCTAAAATCGGGCGTATTAGTTCCTACATCGGGCTTATTATTCCTAAAAACGGGCGCACAAAAGCCTCCCAGTTAATAGGAGAATTTTTGATGAAACGCTAGAAAATAATAAAAGAGGATTACGCAAAAAGAAAGAAACTCACCACACATTCCGTTGTTGCCGGGGGGAGCGGACGGGTACGTAGGTGACCAGTATAACGTCCTTCGTCGCGCGGTCTTGGTCACGACTTTCAATGGAGTGACGAGGAGGTGGTGCAGTCGGTAGCCCGAGTAGTCCGGGCAGGGGCCTTGCAGGACCGGGTCTCCCCGCGAGTAGGCCGACGTCCGTCCAAGGGAACCATTCATCTCCCAGTAAAGGTACGGTCAACAACTAGAGTCTTGTCTATACTAATAGAGGAGAGTAGCGTGACTTGGTCGACTCAACTAATTATAAATTGTTTGTAAATCATTGAAAATAAAATAAATTTCAGGGGTTAGCGTCGAGTGTCGTCGCATAATTCCGGTATAAACCATCCTCTTGTATAAGTTATAGTTAATTTAGATATATTTGTAAGAAGTTATAAGTATTTTTGTATAAAGTATCAAAAATAACCTAAGTACACGTACGTCATAATATAACACAATATTGTATCGTCGATCTCTTGTGGTGGATAATTCTTTTGATATGTGTACAGCACACAAGTGTGGAGAGTAAATTGAAAATTGTTGTTATCTGCCTAAAACATTACTTCTATATGGCATTAAAAGCCTGATTTCGGCGCGGAAAGGGATATAAAGCTGCACGCGAATATATCTGTGTCCACCCTTAGATACCTAAAAATTCGATTGCGGTTGTGGATTGGATACCGGGAGATACCGGCAGGGCCTGTGGTGGCAAATTCGGCCGCCAAGGCTCGTCCTTTTGCCTCAGGG